GACTCGCACTCGTCACTGATGCGCCATATTCACACCTCGATCGACTTACACAAAGTCTGCAAACATGGCAAGGCTGACAGCGCTGCCGTCCGAGGTCACTCGTCCCACCTCCTCGCTCATCCTCATCTCCCTCATCGCCTTCTTCTCCGGCATAGCCATTCACATCCAAGCCGTCAGAAAGGGGCCCGGCTCTCTGATCCCAAGCATATCTAAGCTCACGAATGAAGAAGCGATTGGGCTGCTGCCAGACGACTTCAATGCGACGTGGAAACTCGCTCCCAACTTGACCAACCGCTTGCTCGTCTTCTTGATCGTCTTCTTTCAGAGCATCGTGTCTGATCCTACAGCATTTGGGGTGAGTGTTGAATGTGCTACAGTTGCAATGCAACAATGAGCAGCAGGCTTAGACCGCCTCAAAACCTCGTACGGATGGGACTTCTCGCAGCTGCTGCTCATCATCCTGTCAGCAAGCGCTCCTCTGCTGAGCTTCATGTCGGTCGAATCGCTCAAAGCTGGAAGAAGCAAGCTGCATCACCCGCTGGTCTTCATCGCGGTCGCACTGATTTCGCAACTCGTGTGCGTCGGAGCAGCCTTGCCCGCCTTGTGGGTCCCCATCTACGCATACATCCGCTGGTCCGAGGCGAGTCCTGATTCGCCTTCAACGCTTGTGAACCTTTGTGCTGCAAAGCTTACCGAACACCTCTCATTTTGCAGTCCTCTACCAATCCGCCAGCCATCCATCCTGCACCCTCACCATCTCCCGCGCACGTCAACCTCGTCTTTATCTGCTCCATCTTGGCAGGCATCATGAGTCTAGCTCAATGCTTCGTCGATCCAACCTCATCTCTCTTTGTCTACCTCGACATTGCTTTCCAGCTCTTTCCCTTGGCCTACTTGCCTCTTGCGCTCGCCGGTAGACCCAGCGTTCAGAAAGACCTGCCAAGACTCAAAGCCGCGGATTTGTACAGGGATTTGGGTTTCGGGCTGGCTCTGGCTTGGTGGGTGGGGTTGTGGTACGCGTACCCAGGACTCAAGAAGGCGTGGAAGATGGGAGTCTTCGAGCAGGATGGGTGAGCAGCAAGACCATCAGCTCACAGGCGCACCCTGCCGAGCAGCGGGCTGACGCACATATTCACAAATCCCCCTTCAGCGCTCATCTGCTCTTTTGGGACACTGTCGGAGTACTCATAGCGCAGTACACTCAAATCCTAATCGACTCGTACGCCGACGAAGCGAGGGTCACGGTGACGGGCGAGAGGGTGATGCACAGGCGTTTTATCGTGGAGGACATCTTTGGCCTGGCAGGACTAGCGCTTCTGGGCCCAGGACTTGCCAACGCTACCTACTTTAGGAGGAGGGAAAGCTTGGCCGAGAAAGCGAGGGTGGGAGTTAAAGAGGAATGAATGAGAATGAGTCAGATACCGCAAAAGCGTGCAATGGGATGAGCATCAGTAAACAGAAGGCAGCACCTTCCACGCTGTGGAGGTGTGCTTCCAAGGGATGCTCGGCATCGAGGAGCTGGTGGGGGCGCGTGACTGAAGACATCTATTGCTGAGCGATCGAGAAGGGGTAGATTAAGACGAGGTCGGGAGCACTGCGCGGGCTCACGTGGGACCAGGCATAGGAAAGCATTGCGTCACGCGAGGCTGGACTCTGCTGGATGGTGGGCGTGCGATTGGCAAGTGTAGGGGAATGAGGTGCCGAGTGTCGCAGCTGTCAGATCAGCCGGCATGCCGAAGCGACCAGCTTTCCCGCATTCATATCAGAATGCACCGCGCCGCCGGGATGCTCCTCTATGAGCGCCATCGATCCGTGCGTGTGCCACACGCCAATCCGTACCTATGCTGCGAAGCTGGCTTCTGAAGGACAAGTCTCCTTGGGATGTTTTGAGTCATAGTGGATCACGAGCGTCTTGTATGACTGGTATGTATGCGAGGTGTGCGAGGTGATAGAAGTGAAATGTCAGCGTCTTCGCGATTTGACAAGGCAGATGGCAAAACCCGCCTCGGAGTAGCGCACCACCGTTGCGGGTACGATGGCTGCCCGGTATTCCCACCTCGTGTCTGAATGCTCAGGATGATTGGCACTATCGAGCCACCTCTCGCCGCCATGGAGCAGTAGTGCCCCACCTGCCCTTCATTACCTCCCGCACCAACCATCGCCTGGCCCTTGCTCGCCCATTCCCTCCCTCATCGCCCCAAATCCTCGTCCCTCCGAACTCACAGGCGCAGGAGCCTTGCAGACTTTGCATGCAAATTTCAAAGCTGCACCTCGACTGTCCAACTGAGATTTGGCCTCCTTGCTAGAGTTCGCCTTTGCCTGATTCTTGGCTTGCGCTTGCGCCTTTGCTGCTCCACGAACCATTTTTGAGCTTGCCGGGCTGGTGTTGTGAGCCAAGAGGTTGACGGGTCTGGATCTTGATCCGAGTGTAGGCGAAATTGCTCGGCCTGGAGTGATTTGGTCTGCGCTCGAGACTGCGCTGGCAGAGGGCGCGAGCAGAGCGGGCTGCGAAACAATGGCTGTACGCCAGATGCGGTCCGATGAAGGAGATCGAGGCGGAAGGGGAGAAGGTTGGCAGTGAGGAAGCCAAGGTGATTGGAGCGAAGGTGTGAGTCGTGAGTGTCGTGTGCACCAGGGGTCGCGGCCGCAGGCACAACTTGGACTTTTCGCAGAAAGTTCATGATAGAACGTGCGTGCGATTCTCGTGCGGCAGCACAGCCAATGCCGAATTCATTGGCGCAGCGCTCATTCTCCACTCACGACTTTAATGGCGTCTCATTTCGCAGTCGATGCTCATATCTCTGTGCGGGCACGCACACCACAGGCTGCTGGGATCAACTCCGATCCTACTCACCTCCATCGTCAGCAAGCGTCGCTAGACTGGTTCACCCACCATTAGGTTCTGTGGCCTAGTGCAGCCCAGTCAGCACACCGAAGCAACACGGCACAGCTCAAGATGCCGCCTACAGCCACGATGCCCCGGTCTCCTGGCGTTGGCGCTGTCGGAGCATCCAGGGGCCAGGCTGCGAGAACAGGTAGTCCCTTGTTGCGACTTGCCCTCATATTTGGAGCTTTGCTGGTATAGTGAGGAGATGGAAGTGCTGCTCAGATGGCCTCGCTCGCATTGGTGTACGCTAGCTAATGGTGCAGAATTATGTCACATCCCTCCAGCCTAGGCTATCGAGCCACTGTTCCAAGCCCACACAAAGTGCTCGAGTCTGCCGTCTCCTTTACGCCTGCCTCTGCAACCATATCTCGACGAGTGGTGGCAGTTGCGGACCTACACGGGGACCTGCAACACGCTCACAATGTGCTTCGCATGGCCGGCATCATCGATGCGAGCGCCAACTGGATAGGCGGGGATGCTGTGCTGGCTAGTACAGGAGACATTGTGGATAGAGGAGACGATACGATTGAGCTGTACAAGATGTTTGATAGGCTCAGACAGCAGGCACTAGAACATGGTGGAGAGGTGCGCAACTGCGTGAGTAGGGTCGAGATGCAAGCCTACGAGGTCCACGAATTGAAATTCTTACACGAGCGTGTGGTGTGCGCGTTCCTCCCAGCTCGGAAATCACGAGATGGTGAGAACGAAGACAGTTAGCAGTACAAAAGCTGTGTGCTGAGATCGCTGCGCTTCTATTCCCTGCTCAGATGAATGCGCTTCACGACTGGCGCTATGTGACGCCTGGAGACGTCAAATCGTTTGGCGGTCCTCAAGCGCGGAGGAACGTCATGTCAAGCTCAGGCTGGATTGGAAAAGCATGGATGTCCAACTATACGATCAGCCAGACTGTGCCTCTTCTCTCACCCCACAAGGTCCCAACAGGTGTGCCATCTCACTACGCGGTTCCCCATGCTAGCTTTGTGCACGGAGGCATCCACCCTGAGTGGGCTGCCAAAGGTCTGGATCACATCAACGAAGTAGGAAGATCTCTGCTCTTCAGAGCGCTGGACTGGAAAAGTCCCAGAGGGCACTTGCCGCCCGATACTAGCAGGGAAGAGATGTCGCTGTATGACGAGATGGGCCCGCTTTGGTATCGAGGATATGCTTACGAGACGGAGGAGGAGGTGTGTCACTTGGCCCACGCCGCCAAGGAATCTTTGGGTGTCAGGCATCTTGTGATGGGACAGTGAGTATGTCGCATTCACGCTGATGCATCTTCGAGGCTGAACCGATGCCCTCCTTTCGTCCGCCAGCACGCCTCACTTTGATGGATTCGTAGTCCGATGCGACGCCGCGGTCTTGCTCATAGACACTGGAATCTCTCGGGTAGGTCCGCGCTCGTCACTGGGTTCCGATCCCTTCTCCCACTCACATGTGCCGCCATCCTCGCCATGATGCAGGCATACGGCGGGGAGCAATCGGCACTAATCTTTGACACTGAGCTCCTACCTCTAGCCAAAGGAGCTTGGGAAGAGAAATCCACATTGACTGCGTTGTACCGAGGGAGAAGACCAAAGATCATCAAGGAGATCCGAAAGGTCGTATAGTTACGCGTATCGTTGCGGGTAATGGGCGTAGAATTGCGAACCTCAAGAAGAGTACTATGGTATACTAGGTCGACCATAACCGTTAGTTCTCTCCTTCGACTGTACATTTATCATTGTCTTGTACTGCCACTACACTGACTCTGATGTTGGACATTCTTGATTGTGTAGAATGGTGAAAGCATGCGAAGGTCCAACGTTGCCCACGTGACAACGAGTATTTTCAAGTTGATTCTTTGCGTCCTTGCTCAGGTCGATTAGGACATCAACTTCCGCCCGAGTCTGTCGAGCATGGGCCGTACATGCTGCGATAGCTTCGAGTTCGATGTCTGGCTTGTTCAATTGAGCCTTCGATGACCATGGTAGCGAGAAGGAGCCTGGATGACTGACTGCCTGCGTGTGCGTGCATCGATTCTTGCGCCGGCTTTCAGATGCGCCCCGGACCGGTTCATCAGCTTGCATTCACGATCTCGCACCGGCTCGCGATGTGTGGCTTTGATCACGAGTTTCGCCTTGAACATGCTATTGCAAGATCTAGGCTGGTGCGTATGAGAAGCTGAAGGGACTGAGTACTCGTCTTTGTGATTTCAGTGAAAAGTCTATCGCACCTCCGTGGGCCGCTCGCGTGGCTAGGTCAAGCCACCAACAAGGCATGCGGCATACAGTCACGAGTACATGAACAGCAGTCGACGATATCGGCAGATGGAGGCGGTTGAAAGCGGGTGCGCAATCGATCGATCGATCGAACATGCTCTGTCGCGTCTCTCTGCCATCCAATCTGGAATGTCGTGCGCCATCGATCTGGACGTCATGCTATCAACCGATAGGGACACTCAGTCAT